GAGCTTAATGGTATGGAAAATACTGTAGATTATTCAGTTTGGCATTTATCCGAGCTACTTTTAGCATCACTGATTATACGTCGGTATTGATTTACTTAGGTTATTGATTGTTAGAATTTAAGCAAACGATATGATGTTAGTGATCGATGAATGATTGTCTGGTTTATGAAACCGGTGATGAGTTCAAACGATTCGGTTAATCAATATATTGCATATGGGGAAGGGGGCCCAATTCACCAAATGTTGTATGTCTATAAAGCTTGTCTTCTCGAGACTATCACAATAAAACTTGGTGGGAAGCTTTCATACTTCACAGGAGGACAAAACAGTTCGATATTTTTTCCAAAATCCGCCTCATCGCACCACTGAAAAAGCAGGTTATCATGGATTCCCTTAGTTATCAAAAGATGATGTCCAGTGGAAAGATGACTGTGATATATCAGTAGGAATGACTTAAAAAAACACAACGAATTTGCTAATCCGATGCCCTGAAGATATGATCATGAACAGTAGACGGTAATAATGCACATCTCAATCAATTGAGTATTTTAGATTTGATCAATGAAAAGTGACACTTGAGTAAGTGTATTCATATTTATCGCTTCTTATCAAATTATCGATTGTATATATGTGTATATGTTTTGTCGGCAATGGTTACGATCATGATTATTATTATTATTGTTATTATTATTATTACTATCGTTATTATTTTCAACAAAATATAAATTCTCCGATGTCATTTTGAGTTGCACTTAACGTTAGTTAGGAAGAAATTTGAAAATTCACATTTCATTTTATCGATGACCGAACCAAGTACATTTATTGCGATCACATTAGTGCTGATGAAATTTCACCAATGCAACTATTTCAGTGCTCTTTCTTGGCAAAAAATATTCTTGATAAAAACTTATTTCATGAAATAAGATTATTATAATAAGACGAAATTATTATCCAAAATATTAATGCTTATCGTATAGTAGTGATAAGTGGATGATTGATTTGTAATATTTATGTATTCATTAAATTGTTTTATGCATTTCAATATATAAATTACGCATAGTTTCAATTGATTACGCTCACAAATTCAGACTATGAGTCTGAAAAAGGATAAGGTTAGATGTGTTGTAAAGTGAAACAGTGGTGTTTGCGAACTACAGTCTACCATTCACTGTAACCTGAATTTCGAAATGTTACTCTATTTGAGAACCTTAACTATATTTGTTCCAAACTTTTGTCCATGATTTAACAGGCTGAATTCGATCTAACTGTTTAACTTTCGAAACACTAGACACAGTTGATTTCGCTGTAATTTTAAAACTAGTTGATAGTATGCTCAACCAATTGTCTCACTAATAAAGAACTTCTGTAATTCTAGTTCAACTGTAAGATAGATAATTGTTCCATAATCAGTCGATTTAAGGCAATCTGAACTGTATCGATCAACACTTGAAGCTAGAACTTCAGGAACTTCAGGCCACTAGTAGGTAAATTTATCTATTACTGATGAAAGTTTTATGGAAGCTGATTTAATTTGCAGGTGACATAAATCAACGATGAGAACAGCGGAATCCCATACCAGGACAAAACACCTGTTCAGTGCAACGTAGTTCTTAGTGGAACACGAGACAAAGTCATGTTCCAACAAACGCCAACTTCAAAACACCCAAAAAAGTTATCGCCTTTTTAATGTACAATTTCGTAGTATAAATGAAGAATAGGATTTGCTCAAATAAAGATTTATTTTAAAACGACATGCATGATACATATTTTAATGACATAATACACAAAATTATATTCCATGATTTTCATTATTTCAAATAAGTTCTCAACACAAAATCACATTATCGTTGAGGAAGACAAGAACTATAGAAAATTTTTCACACTATTAGTTAGTTAGTCTAGTGAATAGCGGACTCAGTTCGAAAATACCAAATTTCTAGGCGTCTGTATAAAATCCTATTCAGTCAATGAATAGAAATTCAATCGTTCATATTCTATGTCTTTATTCAATTTACAATTTGATCAGATTCTTATGTATCGTCAACGTTCGGGTAATTGTCTGCACATCTGGATATTCCTTTTTAAAAAAAAGAGAGAGAACAAACTATTTTAGTACTACTAATTGATAAGTATGTTATTTCGCATAACATTTTTGATTCTTTCTGAATATGTTCAATTATTTTTAATGTTCTTGAAACTTTTATGATTATTTAAATGAATGAGAAAAAAAAAGAATTTTATTTCCCTTTGTTATTGTCATTCTACACTGTCACTTGGATTACATGAATCGATGATCCTGATTGATGCTTTATGGATAACCTGTAAGATTAGAGACATCACACTGAACAGTGAGTCATCTAAAAACTAGTAAACATTGTTTAGACCTAGTTTTAGACTTGACCAGTCTGTTAGATATACGATGTATTAAAGCACCTTCGAATTTCGAGATAATATGTGATCATTGGGTTGAGATTAAGTGATCCACATTTGTCTTTTCAGTTAATTTGCAATATAACGCGATCTTCAGATAAAGACTTCAATGCGTTACTGCCTTTTTGAGCCATATGATTTGAGATTAGGTCAGGATGACTGTCGGTTATCCTTAGGCTGGTCACATTTTGTCATGCGAACTACCTTCTAATCGATAATGATTACCCTTGAATGTTGAGTAATATAAAAGTCAATTTATTTAATACCGTTTGTTTGATTTCGGTAGAGATTTCTCAACACATATATGGAATATTAAAATTAATACTATTCTCACATCCGTTGAAATTATCACTGTGAATTATTTATGTAAAGCAAAGTTTTACAATTGTAGTCACCCATCATTCAACGTTAGCAGCAAGTGATTTCCTACCATTACACTTCAATGCTATCTATCTCACCCCCATAATATATATATATCACGTGTGAATTCCAATATATTCAATTGTTGTTTCTCTGAAGAGTATACAACGAGGGCGATACTCCCATCAACATGACTAACTTGATTGAATTCAACAATACTTATGGTTGAGATAGGTTGTAAGTTTATTTTGATAAGATTACTTGATTGCATGAAGCAGTTAGCATACATCCAATCAAACTAAACTGGAGAACAGAATAATTTCTTGAAGTATATGACAAATTTTACAATCTAGTTGGTCAAAGTTTCAAGTGGCAAGCAATTTATCACTAAAATTGAATCAGAAGAGTGTTAGAAGTTTTTGAAACATTTTTCCTGTATGGGGAATCATTGATTTACAATGTGTCTTTTTTTTTTATTGTTTTCGTCTAAATGTTTGATATTTCAACTTGTTTCTTGAAGATTTTACATGTGATCAAAGTGTTCACATTGTGGATGACCAATTTCTCCGTTTTTTTTTCATAAAAAAAAATAATTAATTTACAAATGTACTCGTTTCCTGTGGCATTCATATGTGTTATTGCGAAATGTGAACACTGATTGTTTTTGGTGTGCATGATGTCTAGTTAGTGTATGTTTCCAATGTCATATTTATGTTTTGTTTCAAAGTAAATAAGTTTCGGATTGATCTATGCCTCTTGCTATTTCACATTTATATATATAATTCACTGTTTGTTTTAATCACAACAATTATTTTTAGTGAAAATTCATAATTCTAACTTTTTCTAATGTCTTTCTGATAATTTTGTATTTTAGCCGACTGTTGACCTTTTAGACAATGAACCAATTCGTATAATTATAATTCTCAGTGTTATCACTACAGATAAATAAAAGATTTCTTTACGCTAATTAAAATGTTTAAGAATATAAGTCAGTAACTTTGTGTCTGATTCATTTCATGATAATTGGAAAATGTTGAAAGTACTGCATTATTGTATTACTTTCTTCTTCTTCGTATGTTGACATACTTTAGATGAAGCGATTCGTTAAGATTATTTCTTGAATACAGTAAGATTTTTAATAGAAGTGGGAAGGAACCACATGATTTTTCAACTATTTCCAATGATATCTATATATGTCATATGTGCTACATTATATCCCAAAAAACTTATCTTTTGATTGGTCTGTTTGTCTATGCCACACAAACTATTTATTGAATGTTGATCTTTAACACAAATCAATGTTGACCAGATAATCGTTGAAAGCCATGAGAACAACAGACAGCTGTTTGTTTGTTTTGCTTAAAGAGATTTGTTAACATGGACAAGAATTGTTAGCAACCTAACTAAGTTTAGTTAACCAAACTGAATAAACTGTTTTAAATTTCCATGTTTCATCATGATTTCATGATTTGACATGATGATTTCAAATAAACAGAATATTTGACTGGTCTATTGAGGGTTACATTGAAATAATAATATGTTCACAATGTCTCAATGAGTTGAAGACTGAATTTGGAACATTTCTCAGTTTAGTGAAAGTGACTTTTTAAGAAACTTAAACAAATAATCCAAACTAAATTGATACAATTTTAAATAGTACAGAGAAAAAAATAAAAAGACTTCTGAGTATAATCGTACTACGTCTGATCAAGTCCATGTCATATTATTCCAGCAAAAATTGATTCTGCATGAGAAATACAATAATATCATTGAAATAATCATGTCAAAACATGGTATACTGGTTAGCTTTTACCAGCAAAACTAATTCATATTTAAAATTTTTTTATTAGGATTTAGTCTATGCATATATTTGCTCTCTGGTTCTCCTCAATATTGTTCTTATTCTCTTCGTTCAATTGTTTTCCGATCACGTTGTTGATGAACTGGAGTTTGAAACAAGTGGAGATAGTTTTTTTTTTTAGTGTGTGTAAAAACAGCTTTGTGTACAAAATTCTGGCACTTATAAGTCAACTCTCCTAGAGATTCTTGCTATCTATCTATTTTGTATTATACTTCTAACAATGTCAGTGAACGGATTAATAACATATTTTCAGTGAATACATCGTGGCTTACTAACCTATTTCCCTTCATTTTCTATTTATATCCTGTCCTGTTCTTTTAAAGCTTCCCTATTTTTAATTAAATTTTAGAGCTAAAATTTATGAATTTCGTTGTCATACCCCGGAAAATTTGAAATCTCGCGAACTGACTGAATTAACAGTTGATGATGTATGTAAAGAAGAGCTAAGTCAATCAGCGATACCATCGAAAGATTTTTCCTCAAATTTTAATAATATCGGTGTATTCGACCAGTATCAACCATCTGGGCAGGGCAGCAGCGGTAACCAACAACAAAATGGTGATTTGGGTGAGATGTCTGGTCGTCATGGTTTGAAACCGGCTAGTGTAGATGGTACTGAACAAGAATTGGCCACTGCAGGTAGTAGTAGTGGTATTTCTACTGAAATGATCATTGTCATTTGTGTTGTCATAGCATGTATAATGATCATAATTATAAGTTTAATTGTTTATTCGTCACGTAAACGTGCACAACGTAGAAAGCAACAAGAAAGAAATCTTGGTGTTTCGCATAAAACCAATTCATACTGGTAAGTCGGTGTTTTTTTGTTTTTCTGTTTATGTGTATTTTAACCGACATGTATCAATGGATTCTTTGAAAATGAAAAAATTACTGGTAATCCTTGAGGTGTCAGTTGCCATAGCAACATGCCTACACGAATCAGGCTATACTTCAAGTGATGTGCACCAAATTGAAAGGATAATCTAGAAATCAGTATAAGAAATTCAGTTTGGATTTTCAGCATTAAGAATTTGTGAATGATAAGTTATCTTTATGGAACGAATGTTGGTTTTTGTGATCCAGTTGTATGGTGAATATATCTTTTTTCGGGCAGAGTTTTGGAGGTTTATGTTTTCATACATTTGAAATCATCAATCAATCATTGTCAGACTACCACCATCCACGACTCCTGCACCTCACAGGATGAACACTTCTGATGAGTCCCATACCAGGACGAAACGGCCGTCCAGTGCTTCCAGGTTTCTAATGTTGGTCTAACGATGATTGATTGATAATTTCAATAATATCTTTTTGGTACAAACCTAATTGACAGAGTAAGTATGTTCACTTGATGAGTTTCATCGTTAGTCACTATCCAAAAATATCATTAAACAATCGGCTTGTTGTTTCGCTTAATAGTTTGGTACACAGTAATAAATCGTCCAGTGTGTTCACTGATTCCGCTTGTAATAATTATAATCATAATATTATGACTACTACCATCAGTACTCATTATCAGCTAGCTCATTACAAGTTAAATCGATGTAAGAAAATCGCTGTTATTATCATTATAGCTAATAGATGTAAACAGAATTTCTATTGTCAGCATTTTACTTCATCTGAATTATCTCATTCTGTGTATTAGTAGCTAAGTAAACTGACTTCAATTCTCGCAAATGAGTTCTGATTAAATGAGAACGTCTTATGTGTATGTGCTTGTTTGAGATGCACTATTTCAGTTCAATTTTGTGCAATCTCACATCATTCTTCTTTTCGTTTTAATTATTATCAATGACTTTTATTGTTGTCGTAGTTGTATCACTTTGCCAAATCCATCAGACAGAAACCTCAATCTCATACTGACTATGTACACAGGTTACTATGAGAAAATTTGCCGTTTTTTTTTGTGATTCTTTATGTTTTTAACTTGTGCATTATTTGTGAGTGTATAGGGTAGTCTGTCTGTGCCTGTTGTTGTGTGTGCGTATGCGTGTGTGTTCATTTATTGCTCAAAACAGCAGCATCTTTTCGTATAAATGAAAACAGTCATGAGTAGGTGGTGGTATGTTATTTTTACTTAGGGATTGCTTATCGATATACATTTAGTAAACATATTTGTGCCATTGCTAGTTACTTATTTGTTAACCTTAACAAAAATACTTTTAAATTGATCGCGCGCGCGCAAAAAAAAACAAAATTTATGTACATTTCGTGTTTATGATTCGACTATTTCTTTTTTCTCTTTATTTTTTTCAGTGTTGTATCGTTTAATGTACTTGTGGAATGTTTGTCATTCAATTCACCTTGCACAACTATGTAAAACTACTCTTCACTCTCTGTATGTTTGATTGTATGCTGATGTGTGCAAGTGTGTGTATGTGTATATAGGTAGGTACAAGTGTGTTTTATACATCGTGAGCACAAGATTGAAAAAAAAGAAGACTATCTTTTTTATTCTAATCTCATTTCAGTGTGTGTACCATGTTTAGAAATGATGCTGTGTAATAACACCTGTTTATTATAATGGCAAAACTGAATGAACATCAAGTTATGTGTTGTCAGTGGTTAAGAATACCAGTGATCTTATTCTGCCATACTCAGTGTTTCTACTTTATTCAGGTTGAAAAAGTGATTGGCAAGACGATTTCATGATAGTTTTTCTTCGGATTCAAGTTTTTTTTTAAATCAAAATCGTAGAACAAAAGCTGTTGTTTGATATTGCAGCACTTTCGTGAAACAAATCAAAGCAGAGATTTATTCTTAGTTATTCAATGCATGACATAATTCACTAAGACATCAATGTACTTACTCAGTGATATTGAGATTTTATGATGAATTATATTCCAGTTATAAATGTTAAATCAAAAATAAGAAATTGTTATGGATGATGGCATAAAACATTTCTTTGATAATTTTAATCATTGTTCTTCATTGTGTTATTATTTAGCAATTGAATAACTTACCATTCTACAAATATATCTGTATGATGATCGATCTTAGTGAAATTGAAGAACTTAACTACTGTACATCTCTTACTGACTGTCTGAACAAATCTCCAATGAACTTTATGAGATATGCTACCAGAGCCTGATGTTAAATAGATGGGGAAACTTCAAAGTACTTAGAACAGAATTATATTCACTACGATCTATGTAATTATTTTCACATAAATCAGCTGTGTCTGATGTGCTGACTAGTCACCAGTCTGATTGCTTTTTACTATGAACTTTTAGTTATTTGTGTATGAGAAAAAACACTTCCGATACTTATTGACAATACTTATTGGTAATATAGTTGATAAGAAATAAATCTCAACAACAACAACAGCAACAACAATATCGGAAAATTTTAATGAATATAATTTCTCTACTTCGCCTTTTTCAGCGCTGTCATTGAACACAATCCATCGAGTCGTATACCGAATGAAAAACAAGCCACTTCTCAGTCAGCGTATAATAACTATTCTCGTGGTATTTTACAGCCGGAAAAAGAACCATTAGCGCATGGTTACGGTAATTATCGAGATGGACGTTTGTAAATGGATGGTCAACGAAATATCAATAATGAGGATGGTATTGAGCATAGCGAGATAAAGTAGAAGCCTACTATTCATTCTGCTTTATTTATCTTGTTCTAATCAATGTTTTTCAACTGTTTCGTAAAATTACTCCCCTCGCCACACACACACCTTACAAATATTATATTTTTTTTCACTAATTAACAAGTATATTATTCATGTTTAATTTATGCTCAATGAAAACTGCTCATATTTAAGCTTCTCTCCTATGAAAAAATCGCAAGAACCATAACAAAAATTAATTTTTTTTAAAAAAAAATCCTATTCACATTGTCATTCCATATGTCTCATTTTACTCAATGTTTCAATTAGTTTATTCGACCATTGATTAAAACAACAACAACAACAAAAATGGCTAATAACAACCACAAGCCAACTGAAATGAATCCAATATGTTCACACGGAGCCTTGCACATCAAAAATAGTACATACAACAATTATATGAAAATCTGATATTATATTTTAGATTGTTGAACTGTTTTAGATATTTATTCATTTTCATTGAATATCGATTGGAAATAAGATTTGATTGTGGTGTTTAATTGAAATTTGATCTATTTTAGTACATTTTGGTTGTACTTCACTGAAAGCACTCGTTGTGTACAATGTAATACTTCTTTACTCATACTTATATACATGATGAGTATACATTTACTGATGAAATAAAAGTGTTTGTCTATATACATATATATATACTTATATACGTATATATCAGTAAGTACTATTTCTGGCTAATTGTTCTCTCTCCATTTCACTTTATTGCTTACTTTGCATTAAAGTGTTATCTTTTTATTGTTAACATTGCAAGCGGAATTATGAACTGGTTTCTTCCTTTTATGCAGTTTTTCGCCAATTCTCATTACCTTAGACACCATAAAAACGATAGGAAGTGTACATGTAAAATGCACATCTAATTTTTATGAATAGCCTATTCATGAATGCAAATGGTTTTTTTTTCCTTGTTTGTTTTTTTCTGATTCTCCTTACTTATTCACCTGAGCCTTAAAATTTGTTTTAATTGTATCTAATGGATGTGAAATGTTTTATTAGGCTTTTAGTATTCAGTATTCTATTTTTTTTTTGTAAATCCTAAAGTTATTATGTTAAATGTTTCCTTCGATATATGCCAAAAAATAAATGTGTTCAAGAGTAGTACTGGGATTTTGAGGAGTTCCATTTTCATAAAAATGCAAGTTCTTACATGAAAAATTAAATGCAAGTTTGCTGATGTCATTCACTTACACAATTATGCACCATATAACAATGTCATTTTCGCGTATTGAACATGCATCTATTTGTTTTTTTTTTTACGATTCTCCCTTAATTCTTTTCCACATGTAAAAATTGACCCACATTTTGGCGCCTAATTCCTTTTCAGTGAGTCATTTGTTTAGATTCAACCAGCAAAAGACTCAAATGCCCGTTTGTTTGCCTGTTTGTTGTTTACCTATAGAACCATTCTTTTTTTCAATACACATGTGCGAACAATTATTGGTTACTTGAGATTACAAACAAGCATTCAAATGAATACGTGTGTGAACATCAAAATAACCGCTATCATCACTATGACAACCAACAGTATGGTTTAATTGAGACAACTAATAACATAAACAACATTCAAATTTGTTTAAATCTATTGTTGTCCTTTTTTTTAAAAAACTTGTTTATGGTAAAAAGAAAGCTTTCTTTCAGCTATTTCATCAACCCCTCTATTTGTTGTCGTTGTTATAATCAACGTTATTATTAATTATTAGCGCGTTCTCATTTCTTTTTTTTTCTTTAAACTTTTTACATTGCTGTTTCATGTGGTTTTGATGATCGATTTGTTTGTTAGTCTTCTAGTTTCATTATGATGATACGGTTAAAATTAAGAATAAATAAAAAAACATGGGCAGTTCACTTTGCTTTCACTATCAGTTCATCGCACTGTTATCATTCGAAATTCCGTGATATCTAATGATTGCTAATGCAAAAATAACACAATCACTTACTGAGCAGTTTAAGGTGACAAAAGAAACTGAAGTTACAAAAAGTTTATTTATTGTATAAACTGTTGTTGATTTTGGATTTCATGAAGAAAGAGGAGTACCGATATAAGTTTGGGTCGGTGAGATTAATCAGTATGATGGACAGCAAATCAATAGTCATTATTAAAGATTAAGTAAATGGATACAGAACAGGAAGTAGATAGGTCGTTGTTGGTGAAATAAAAATGAGTCAGAATTGTTTACTTATCAACTATCAACTTTAAGATATGTGACTTTGAAATGGAATTGGAAACTTTGATCTGTTCAAACAAACAAGGTTGAAAAATGAAACAATAACTGGTTAATGATGTTGAATGGTTGGCTGGACGTGACCAGGTAGTTTACTGGATTTTAATCTCACCCTGCTTGAAGTGAGATGTGATAGACTAGTATTTGACTCTATGTGAGATCACATTTGAATCATACACTAACGATGTCGTCTGAACGACATTAAAACTTGTCATTTAAACCAATAGTCATGACTATCTACAAACGAGTTTTGTTAAAATCATATGTTTCAACGTAAGCACCATGATCCCGGCAACAGAATAATAAAGATATATTTTTATTAGGTTGAATAATTTATTAGCACGCTCTAATTGATCTGTGAAACAATACACATTTTCGAAGAACCAGTCATATTTAGATAACGTTCGGGCCTACAATCGATCTCATACTCATTACGAGTTAATCTTGTTCGTATGACTTAATAAAAACTAACAGTTGTGTTGATCTTCTGAATGGACAGGAATAAAATGTTCAAGTTCTGAAAACTGGACTGATGACGCAAGATAGCCAAATGAACGATTATCAAGTAACAGAAAAATTAGTCAAATAATTCAGGGTGATAATTTCAACGGATGTCAGAATAGTATTAATTGTAATATTCCATATATGTGTTGAGAAATCTCTACCAAAATCAACCAAACTTCGTTCGATGAGGGGATTATAATTGTCAAAGTTTTATAAATTCAGGGCACTTACGAACATATATGAGAAATAGTTAATGAACCATGACATTAAAAGTATATAAGTTACACGTTGCTTAAACACACTGGTCATGATTTTTTTAGAAATACAAAAGAATTTGAACTGCTTATGATTCTGAATTGATCTAGTTAGGCGGACTGCTATGTTTTCGCTCAAATATCTGTCAACCAGAAAGTGTTTGCTTATGATTCTGACTTCTCAGTCCTACCTACAAAGTGGTTTACTTGGGTTACTGATCTTTTACTATCATTTTCAATAGTACGAGATTCAAGTGTTTATGTTATTGTCTGATCACTTTGTATCATATTGGTTTCTTTTCACCTTCTTATTTGCTAAATTTACATTTCCAACCAGCAGTTAGCTAACTTCTTTTTGCCTAAGTTGAGTGTTCACAGCCTAGTGACAATTCAGTATTGATCAAATGATAACAGCGGTTAGTATTATGAACAATGTAATTCATTGTTACAAAACCAATTATGCCTAAATTAATTAAATATTTAATAAATTCAAATTAATGAGAAATTTACATAACATGATTAATAGACTATCATTTCATTCCACTAAGTATCAGCTGACATTATATATATATATATATATATATATATATATATATATATATATACTAAATCAATGCAATATGTGATTATCATTCGTGCGAACTGAACAATGTTTATAATCCCGATTTGAACCGATGAAATAATAATACTGAAAACGATTGATTTAAAAATAGATTATTTAATATAATAAAGACATTAAGTAACAATATTCATACAACACAGGCAACTACAAGATGATTAGGAGAACTAGTTATCGATGGTACCGTTTGATGTCCATCCTAGAAATTGCAAGTTTTGTAAAATACACCAAACTTTCTGTTCACTACAAGCGCATTTGAATGATAAATAACAGTGGAATTAATGAAGTGTTTTTTGTCCTTTTTATGTCTCGTCAGCTGGGTGTCCCATAGTTGTTGAACACTCTGGGATTAGAACTAAGTACCATCCACTTGGCTAGTGAGTTCAGATAGCCACTCACTTGTGCAATAGGGTGAAGATAATACATTCGTGTTAATTTAATTGTATGAATCTTTCTGAATCAGTATCGTTTGATATATGAGCTTCTTGTGCTGGTTACTCTAATATAGCCACTCCACTGTTAGCCACTATTCATCTCTTCGTATAGTGGTGCATGTGATCTAATGGTTATATCAAGCGAATCCGTAAAGGACATACATGTGCCAAATGAGACTAAACACTCACAGTCCTAACTTTCAATGAAAATATTCAAACAACCGATAAAAATGTGTCAATTTTTATTAATTTGGAAAAGAAGTGAGTAACCCAAAAGATTTTGTTAGTAAGTTACTGAGCACATTTCAAGTTGAATTATTCCACACAGGTCACACCCATGTAAATCTGAGAATTGTTGAGATAAGATGAATTGTCTGTTAATCACTTTAAGATTTTTCAGAGATTTTCTTGTTCATGTTAAAGGTAATGAAAATTAATTTGGAATGTTTCGGATTACTATTATTTCGTTTGATGCACATTAGGTGCTCACAACCGGGAATGTTTAAAAATTACAGTTATACAATAGTTTGAAACTAATTTCATAAACTAGTTTAAATGGAAGCTATTGTGAAAACACAATATTTCTGTATAGGAACGATGTGAAAACATTTTAAAGATTATACAAAATCGCCCGTCCTAAAATTCCATTGATAACTATTATCTAACTCTGTTAATGATGCTTGTAACCTCAAGGCAATGCCGAGTTCGTTCCAAACAGGACGATCAGTTACATACAGTCCTATACACACCTAAGGAAAGATGCAAACAACTAAGTCAAATGACTTATAAACATATATGTTTAATGTTAAGGAATATTCTAAAGCACAGCAGTAAAAGATGACAGTTCAGTTACGTAATGAACAAACAATAACAC